TAACAGGAAAATGGTTATTCCTAGTAACTGTTGTTAACGTTTGCCTCTTACACATGCATCAAGTTTTTTTTTTTTCCTGCTAAGCCTATATACAGTTACTGTCACCACACATTCTATAGACTGAGCCAATACATTTTTGAAGAATTTACCACTTTTGTTCCCTCCTGATGTGAAACATAGGCCTACATTTATAGAAGATTAAAATCATTGAATACAACTTATTGCTCGTATGTTCATCAGTCAGCGTCTAGATATGTTTTGGTTATGTGTTATTTGTGTGTCTGCGTTTTCCCGTAACACTTGGTATTGGAAGCCACAAAACACAGGTGCCACTTTTATCCACACATTTATTTTTTTTTGTTTTTAATGCATTTACTATTCTATATTTCACGTGTGATGTGAATACAGAATGAAACTTAGCACAATTCTAGAAATGTGTGTATAAATGAAAATTAAAGCAGCATGGGCATCATTTCAAACTGCTCATACCAATCAAAAAAACCCAGTTCAAGTACAAAATAACTGGTGTTTAAGTGCATTTAAAAGCTCAAAATTAAAAGTGCTTTCAATCAACTGAATGATTCGTTTGAAAAATAGAAATGTCTAAAATGCAAGTATTACTTAAACAGAGTCTTACCCTCTTAAGCTGATATAATCTAATTTAATTTAGAACACACAATACTGCTAAATACAAAGCAGATAAAAGGGAGTAATATGTCAAAAACAAACTATCATGCATACTTTTTCTTAAATGCTATTCCATGAGAAAAACTTTGTACTTATCTCCTCTCCATGTAGTTACAAAGAGCGTTGTTAAAAACAGCTAAGAAAAAATCAGCATCTTCCAATGTAATACACATGGGAGGTTTGATACGAAAGGTCTAAAATGGAAAAGATTTATTCAATAATTTTTCAACAAGATTTTTGAATATATGAAATAACTCAAAATTATTTAAAGATAAATACCTGCCCAAAAAGGCCTCCTTTCCCAATCAGCACTCCCATGTCCTTAATGTCTTCAAATATTTCATTTACTGAATTAACAGGCAAGGGTTCTCTGCTTGTCTGTAATTGTAAAAATAAATTAAGAACCAAATTAAATTTCTGGAATATTGACGAAGACAAGCCCTAATTCAGGAATGGTTTTACATATGGAGGCCTTTCCCCTCCTTAAGTTTTAAGAGTTTTTCTTTGGGGTGTGGTCAGTCCATCTAACCCCTATAGGAGGGTACCTTAATAGTACGTGTCATTGGCAAGTTTGCATTATCTCACTCTCCTGATCCCCAGGGTAGAGGTGACAGATCTGTATAAAGTCTGCAGTCCATCAAGTGGACCACTATAAATCCTTTGTGTAAACAGGAAGGGGATGAAAGCAGCAGAAGTCTTCAGAATTATCCAGACTGTTCAGAAAAGGACTTCATAAGGGGACCTGATGGTTTGATGTCCACTAGTGCTCACTGCCAGAAGCTCAATTTACATTTGCAATAGAAACCAGAATTTAGCAGCTTCTTTCTCGGCCCTGTAGCTACTTTAAACTACATTACTTTAAACTGATGACAGCATTAATCTGAGCACAATATAAATCAAAGAAAGCACCATGCTGTCTGTGACTTTGAACCTTGTGGTCTGGAGAGGGATGCACAGCTACACTGAGCCCGACAAGGGAACCCTGCCTATGATAAGTCATTGGGATGGAAGAGATCTGAGAACCCCCCTCCCCGTGGCCTCACTAGAAGCCTGACCACAGTAAAGCTTGGGTACAAACACACACTGGCCATACTACTGAGCACCTGAGTAAAGGAAGTTGCTGTGAGGAAATGATTAAACTGGGCTTGCCATATGGTGTTTTCATTTTGATTTGAAATCCTTTTGTTTCTTACCACACATTCCAATTCCATTAATATGTTATATCCAATAACACATAATAATGTAAAAGGGACTCAGTACCTTGTCTTTGACCATCTCTACACCAATCTGAAGACCTTTTCCCCGCACATCTCCGATGATCTCATATGTGTCTCTTAGTTTAGCCATCTTGGTCATCAAATAGGTGCCCACTTCAAGGCTGTTTTGCTGTGTGCCTTCTATTGTTATAGTCTATTAAATAAACATCAGTCCAAATGTTATTTGTCCAGGTCAATAACAGAAAACAGATCAATGACTGAATCCAAAGTCTTACGTCAAGCACTGCCGAAGCAACAGCACAAGCCACAGGATTTCCACCAAATGTGTTGAAGTGGACTGCCTTAGCAAATGATGCAGCAATTTCTAAAACAAAAAAGAGAGATACAATAGCTCAAATACACAAAGCTTATCAGAACAGACCAATTTGCCCCTACAGATAACATAAGGGACAGAAATAGATGCACATTAAAATTCAGTCATGCTTAAGTCCTTTGGTCTGTTTGACCAAACACGTCAAGCAACACACATGTTGAGTTTCCATCATTTTTGATAACTTGCATTCATTTCCTGGAGACCAATCCTAACCTTAACCATAGTTACTACATACCTAACCTTACTCTAAACCCTAACATGTTTTAACTCATTTCTTTAATGTTTAATGGTAACTTTAATGTGATAATAAATGATTTACCTCATAAGGACTTGATTTTTGTCCTCAGAGTCTCTACAATGTGATAAATGCCCACCCATATACACAAGCAACCAGACACAGCCTTGTGGGCTCTGTCAGATAAACACTGATTAAATATTATTCTTTATGGTGACTTTTATAGAAATATGAGTGGTAACCAACCTTACTTGGTTGTGTTTTCCACTGTCCTTTTCTACTATGCGACAGTGGATCTATGACCTTAAAAGTTACAATACCTCTCTTTTATATATATTTGATATAGCTGGATGTATTCACCCCTAGTACATACCATGGTACACACACATGCATATGCCATTGTATGCAGTGGAGGTAAGCGGGGGTAAGCCTACTGGTCAGTGAATGAACACGCTAACTACAGTCTGCATCCTGCATACTTTTCAATCTGCCATTTGTAAAAACAAGCTGTCTTTAAAGATAGAGATAATATTAATACCTTTTTTTCCTAATGTATAACATTACCTGGTGTAGTTACAACAGCTCCCATAGGAAATCCATTACCAATCCCCTTTGCCATTGTTACTATATCAGGGACCACATCATGACCTTGGAAACCCCAGAAATGGCTGCCTGTGCGACCAAACCCAGTCTGGACCTGTTCATAATTGCATTAAACTAATGTTGTAAAAATTATAAAAGCTAAAATCCTAAATAAATACTTTAAAATCTACCTCATCTGCAATGCAGACGCCTCCTCTCTCTTTTACTAGCTTGTAAGCCTCCTTCAGGTAGTTTCTGGGGTACTGAACCGCTCCTCCGACACCCTTTTCATAACACAGTCATACACAGCAAAAAAGCACAAAATTAAGTGTTGCCATTCAAAGTACACAATTCATCAAAAAATACTTTTAATACAGTAACATACCTGAATAGGCTCTGCAAAGAAAGCAGCAATTCGACTTGGAACACTAGTTGCAAAAGTTTCTTTTAGTTGCTCAATGTAATGTTCATTTGCCACACAGCAGCCTGTACAGAATAACATAAATACACAGTTGAATGCAATCACATTATTGTTGTGGACCCTATCCATATCTTTTCTCAATGCACCATATTTAATTAATTTATTAAAAAATATATAAAGTTTGAGAAACCCTGCACAAAATCAAATGTGCTTCACTCCATTTTTGTTTACCTTGTGGACAGCTGCACTCTCTGATAGTTTGAACAGGTGAGTCTCTGCAATGACTTCCGCCCCAAAGACCTCTAAACACATCAGGACACATGGTCTAAAAAGGATTACAGGGAAATATGTTTAACAATAAATGCTTGCTGGCAATAGTGTGAAGTACAGTGTGTAGTTAAGTATAATAATCAGCATGTGCACTTGCAAACCTACATTTGTGCAGCCTAAACCACTGGGAACAGGATATTTATAAGCTGCATTGGAAGTCAGACCCATAGTCTGTGGACTGCCACCATGGTATGAGTTTCTGAAAACATAGAAATGCATACATTGTGTATACTGTACAGTACAATGCAAAACACTGTAAACATACCTAAATGTGATTATGTCAAAGTTGCCTGTATATAGTCGAGCCATCAGCATAGCAAGATCATTAGCTTCTGACCCACTATTGGTGAGATATATAACCTGAGGGAACATGCCACACATTACCACAGCTGCACATATTACTGGACAATAAAGAATGTTTTAAACTTATACAAAAAGCTAAACCTTGAGAGGATCTGGAAGATAAGAGGCTAGTTTTTCACAATACTCATGAATAGGAGGATATACATAGATGTTTGTGGTGTGCCACAGTGTTTTTAGCTGCCTCACAGCAGCTTCAGTCACCTTCCTGTGAGAATTTAAATGTTTCAAAATAAAAGATGCATATTTTGAAAAGCATACATAACATAAGTTGATACAAATATAGGTAAGATCTTACGGGTGACAATGACCAACGCTGACAGTAGCCACACCAGCAAACAGGTCAAGATAACGCTTTCCATCCACATCCCACAGCCACTGCATGTGTCCCTGATAGATGAACACTGGTCTTTTATAACTAGTAACCTTCATTGTCATGGGGTTGCAATTTTGTTTGCGAATCTGCATCATTTGTTCTTTTGACATACCCTTGAGGAACAGAGACAACAATAATGTATCCATTGCTCACATAGTTACAAGAGCTCCAATCATTGCAAACTTATCTTTCTTATAGGTATTACCTTGTATTCTTCAGGTGTAAAATCACAAGAGGGCATCTCTGGTACATGTGTGGATGGGTATTTTAAGGCGGACTTCTGACATAATGTTCCTGAAAAAAAGTATTGACATACCAGGAGATTGTGGGAGTTACTTGCAAAATAAAAGATAAATGTTCTATATCTCAAAAGCATGTCTACAAGTTTTAGGCTCCTAAAGGTAATAACTATAATGTGTGCTCCTCTTGGCTGATAACAAGACAAAATGTAGGCTATATATAAAACAACTTTTACAATGTGTAAATGTTTTGGTAATTAATAAACATGTCATTTGTTATCAGTAAAATTTGATATGAACCTGTTTATTTAAGCAATATAAGGTATGGAAGATGATTTGTTCCATCAGATTTAGAATTTTAAATACCACTGAATTTCTCGCTTTGAAATTTTCAACTCTGAAAAAACATGTCATGAATTTTAGTTGCTGAAATTTTAAGTATAATTTTTAAGTGTTTAAAATGCTTTTTTTTTTATTTTTTTTTTTTTTATCACCTTTTAAATATTCAGCACAAGCCCTCAAATTCAAAATTCAGAGTGTAAAATTCGCACTGGAAAAAAAAGTTTACTGGAAAGATCCAAGATGCCAAGGCCTAACCAATCAATCCAAAACCTGATTGGTCAGAATTAGCCTCATCAAAACCTCATCTTTTTAATTTCTTAAGTGTAAACCCGCCCACAGATGAAAAAGGCCAAAAGGAAACAGCCTCTGTCCTCCTCACTCACACATGATTGATTGCTTCTGCCTTGGCATCTTAGCTCTTTGCTGTGAAAAAGTTTACATTCTGAATTTTGACTGTTGAATCTGAGAGCTTGAAAATATGTGCTGAGTATTTAAAAGGCGATTTTTATTTTATTTATTTATTTTAAAACATATTGAAAAAGTATACTTAAAATTTCAGCAACTAAAATTCAGAATAAAAATAATTCAAACATATTTTTTCTGAGTTAAAAAATCTAAAGTGAGAAATTCAGCAGCAGTAGTAGTAGTAGTAGTAGTTGAGACCAGAGCACTCCTCTGAATAAACAACCTAGTTAACCTTTGACTTTAGGAATTGTGCAACAGTCCATAACAAGAATACAACATTTTACCATTTTCCGACCAAACAACAATACTTCAGCAGCTAACATAATTACAAATTCTTAATAGGTTACAAACCAGGGCCAGGCCTATCCCAGAACTTCCAAATATGTATCACAATTCAACTTATGGCCTTTGCTTAAATTTATATATTTTCTTTCTAAAATGCCCTCCGTTTTAATTCCAGAAGCTTTGCTGCCCCAAAGGCACGAGAAGGGTCCAAGTCACCATAGTAACTCACCACTTGAAGAGTAAAATCTTGACCAACTTCGTTCACAAAGGCGCCCTGCGCTAAAAGTCTTTCCACGGGCCGTAAGACCAAACAGAAGCTTACACATGTTGTTGAGCATAATTACTGCACAGACCAGCGTCCTACCAGGACACAGTTTGAGGGCTTTGGCATTTGGTGATAGAAAAATCCTTCTGAGTAAAGTTTACCCTGAGGTAGCCCCACCGCGTCTCTCTGATTGGCTGACGTTGACAAGCGTCTGTCATGTGATTTTGTTGTGAAGTCATATGTATAAATTGTATGTGTGTGTGCGTGTGTGTGTATAGACATCAATGACAGTCTCACCGATCATGGTATTAGTATTATTTTTTATTAGCAAACTATTATTACATACATTATATAATTTCTTTAAATCTTTTCCAAAGTTTATTTCATTTTTATTACTTTATTCTCCAGGAATAAGCTTAAACTTTTTCATAAATCTATTTTTCATTCCAAAAGACCATTAAAACTTCTCACGTTTATGGATAATCTGTGTAAGGAACTGCCCTGTATGTTTATTTCTTCTATGCCCCCCTTCTCCATGTAGACCAGCTGTTTTTAAACAGAAGAGATTGGCCATGATTCTTGATTTCACCTGACCTGATTTTATGGTCAAACACAAGAGTGCTGCTTATTTTTGCTGAATTTATAAACCATCACTCTAAAAACGATCTTTTTACACTCTTGTTGACAATATTAGGTTACATGACAATTGAAAAAAAAATTAGCTGGCAGTCTTTAGGTTTTTCAAAATACTTATTATAGCTTATTATTAACTTTTCAGCAAAAAGCATTTACAAGGCCCCGCCCCCACAATAGGCAACAGATTGGGTTTTTTTGTTTGCTTGTTTTTTGCAATTGAAACAACATAGAATGTTCATTTATAACATTTAAACAAAACATTTTAGTACAATGGATACATTTGATTATATTATTGGTGTGCAAAAAAGTCAAAGATTAATGATAAGATAATACATTTAATTCAACAAGTCTACATATACGTAGACTGTGTAATTTGCCACCTCCTTGTCTCCATGGCAATAGATGCTGGTGTATTGTTTTTCATTACATTACTCAAAAATATCTATATATAAAATCTATACAATTCTTACTGGGAGCGGGATCACCTCTCCACAAATCTGACCTGTAACTTGGGCCTGGTGATTCTTAAGATATATATTTAACTCCATAATGTGTAATATTTTACACAGCTAATTAATTGCTGGGTGTCCGACAACATAACATTTTACAGGCCAATGAGATGTACAGATGGAAAGCGGCTAAAATCAGTGTTCTTAAAATTGAGATTTTTGTTGGAAAATAGCAATCTCTAGGATATAGCCACTAAAAGAAATCACCTGGTTCAACATTCGTGAATTTACTTTTTAGATATCTGAGAATACCATGAAATTTGGCTCTTGTCTCCCACCCCCCACCTGGGAATGTGACATCATCACACCATCAATAAGGTTCAAGCAATAACAACTTCCATCTTCTTCTTCTTCCATCACGACAGAAATTAAAATCAAAGTATAATAGTTTTTGAATGGGGAAAGATTCTCACAAAATCATTCCAATCATAAAGGAATCATTTGTCTGAAACCCATAAAAACATAATTGGAGGCAAGTTGGTGGCGTAGCCTCCACTAAACAATATTATGTAGTGCACCTTTAGAATTGTAGAAAACGTTATATAGCTTGATTTTGTCTTGCATGGTGTGCACATTCATTGCGCTACTTTCATATTTCTTATTTGCTCAATGGGCCTAACACTGAGACTGATAAGCATTCACTCGCATATATTGCACTGCTACAATTAAATGTTTTGTATTTTGACAGCAAAGAGTTTATGTTAGGGGCAGTAACATTTCCCTTGCCAAACTGCTATACACAATATAAAATAACACATCAAAACATCATATGGAGTGATAAAATATAAATTTCAGTGAAAAAGATAAATAAATTTTGTGGGAACAAAATACAATCATTTTCTGAAGCAGCAGTCACTTTGTCAGTATAGCTCTGACATTAAAAACAGGCCATGGACTGCCCCAGTCTTTGGGCACTTAATTACATGGGCACTGAAAACAAAGTGGCAGTGTCAACATAACCATTTGCAGCAAATGGTTTCTGCTCTTCTTGTACTGGCAAGGTGAGGGTTTGCATGGGGGGATATTTGTGCTTCCAAACATTAGCTGATGACATGTAACAACTTTCTTTCACTGCATTTGTCTCCATCTTGTCACAAAAACACCTGTCCATTTCCTGTGCCGTTACATTCACGCCACTTTCCAGAAGTAACATTTTGTCACCGTTCACTCCTTTGACCTTACTGTAAACATCTCCCTGATGTACATGGGGGCAGCCCTCAGCATGGCTTTGGGTAGTTGACTCCACAGGCTGTAGAAGAACCATATCCTCATTATTCACTTTTTTTACCTCCACATATTGTGTAGATTTGAACAGAGTCAGAATTTCGTTGGCCTTTTTACTGATGTTGATATCGCTGTGAGCCTGGAGATGCTCTGAAGTTTGTGGGTGCATTTGAGGTAGTTGCTTGCTATTTTGGCTAAATTCCCAGTAGCTTGGCCCAAAAGACTCATTTTGGTTGATGAAGTTAGATGACATGGAACCAGGTGGAAATAAGGTATCGGAAAGGCAGTGCTGTTTCACAATTTCCAATGACGTCTTTTGTGGGATTGCACTTGTGTACTGTGGCAGAGGTGTAAAAACAGAGGGCCATGTCTTCACTCGCCCATTGCATGTGTCAGGGCTGCCTTGATAGCTCAACATCTTCTCATCTTGGTTGTTTTGGGAAATCTCCAGCTCTGTGATCTCACCGTCATCTTCACAGTTGGAGTTTAGTTCATCTTTACTTTTCTCTTTACATTTGTCTATCAGCAGAGTGTGGCTATCACAGCTGCCACGGCCAGAGTCACTGTCACATGTTGAGCTTTCGGATTTGCAGTAGTGGTCCTGAATATCTTTGCCTTCTTCCATGGATGCCTCTTGCTCGCCAGTGACAAATACCTCCAAGTATTCCACCAGCAGGTCATCATAGTTGGATGAGGAGGTTGGAGGATATTCAGGAATCATCAATGCGCTTAATCCATCTTTATAACTGCCGTTCTACCAACATAGAAAGAACAAGGGTTACAGAAATGTTCTAACCTTTACTTGAGAAGGGTGCTATTGACGTTTGTAATATTATTTTTAAACAATATACAATACTGATAAAAAATTTGTGTTTCTAGTAAATGTCAAACAAACAAGCCCATTATTTGTTATTTTTGTCTATGTAAGAGCAGCACTTTTATAACATTTTACATTTTACAGAGCAACACATATTACCTCATAACATTCATATTCATATATTCAGAATATACTATAATTCAAGGAGTGTGAACCTTACCTTCAAACGTTGATGATCAAATCCCTTAATTTTAGGACCAGGGACCGGTGGTAGAATACAGTGCTTCAAACTTAAAATATAACAAAGAACCATAAGTCAGCACCAAATAAGTGACAGCCCAAATCAGTGTATTTAAGAATCTTTACCTATGGCTATTCATGTAAATAATCCAAGCAAGAATGAGAATGACCAAGGAGGAGAAAACTAAAATAAGAATCCACAGAGATCGTCCCATAAAATCTATAAAATAAATGTAAATTATGTAATTGTTACTCATTATAATATTGTGTTATAATACCATAATACCATATTGTAATGTTTCACATTGTCTCACATTTAGGCACTTTGGTTTTGGTTGTAGGACTCCATTCACTCCAAAAGCCGTGATCAGGTCTGCAGCGCACCTGAACAAGGTAGGAGCTTCCTGATCTGACACTGAAAATGTTGAATGTCTTTTGCTGACCGGGAAAATGTTCCTGGAAAAACACAAGGATGAAAAAAAAATGTATACAAAATCCCAAAGCATTATTTTGTGTGTATTTTGTATTATTAAACTATAACATTCGTAGATATTTTTTCTTACATTATTGTAAACAGCAATATTGATCTAAAATGGCTTAGTAATACTAATGGGTCAACAGACATCTTGTTCAGAACTGCTGAACTGAAAGGCCCTGCCACAGTCTCAAGCAGCAGATTTTTATTTACAAATTTTATTGTGGAAAAATTGCTATATGACATGTTTTGTGACCCAGAATCAACTTTGAGTTAATTAATGACGATGGCACAGCTTTATAACATGGTTATAAGCTCATAAAAGTTGCTGTTACAAAATGCATCCTGTCTAAACACTTATCAGAGGAAGCATTAGCACTTTTAACACACTGGTAATACCATTACCTCCCATTCCTCTTCCCCCTCCATCTTGCTCCGGAGCTCATAGATCAGAGTGATCCATCCGGAACGGATATCAGCCTTGTGAGGTGATTCCCAGGACACGCGCAAGAAGGGCCAACCCTTGTCTTCCATCACATTTACTGTCACATTCTCAGGCGTGTGGGGCTGAACTGCAAAGACACAGCAGAGTCACATTAGAGAGAAGACAATGCACTCAAATGGTAACTTCTGATGTGAAATATTAAACTTCATGGCTGTGTAACAGATTCTTTATCATACATTAATCCAGGTAATTACAGGATTATGTTAAAAGAGATTTATTGTTATTGTACAAAGTATAATGAAGCACTGCATCAGTGTCTAAAATGACTGAATGAATGATTGATAAATACCCACACATTCTCACATTCATATAAAAAAAAACAACTATAAAGCATATATAAATATATAGCTATAACATTATAGGACAAAAAAAAATCTTCAGTATATGTTTGTACTGTCACTGTGGAGGTCTATTGCACATGGATATCAACATTACCTTTTAATGTAATTGAAGCTTCTGGGTATTTGTTTATTATTTGTTCTTAAATATACAATATAATTTTTATACTTACCGATGTAAGCAACATCCACATCCACTGGATCAGAAAACGTTCTCCCCATTTTATTGGTGGCCACAACAGTAATGTTATAGTTGACCCAGACAGATGTTTCATTCTTGTTAAAGAAACAGGAATTCTTGCCTGCTGTGCGATAATCAGGGCATTCATATAATGCTTCAGAGCTGAGAGAAAAAGAGGAACATTCGTATAATGAAGTTTAATTGGCTGTGTGTACAAAAGAGAAGCATCGTTGTAATGTATGAGGTTTTTTGACTATACATAACTGAGTAGGTGTAACAAGGACATAATGTGTCTTTGTTGCCATAGGAGTGGATCCAGCTGATTGGCCGGAGCACTTATTCACAGGAAATGGATGTCATGGGGATTGGCAATGCCAAACCATTTTTTTGTTTGTTTGTTTAAAGAATATCGCTTGGTGATAAACCATGTTTTTAACACTTTTATCACTGAGTTACATTCTGTTCTTAAAGGAACAGTATGTAACTTTTTGGAGGTGGCACATCATCTGCATGATTCCATGGCTGATTTACATAGACAGAGACAGATTTATCGGCAGGCCCTTTTTAGTGCTATGGCTATTGCCCTTAAATTTTCAGTTAATCTCTAGTTAAAACCATATTTTGGAAGATTCTCCATAAAGACAGCTAAAGTTTATGACTGATACAATGGAAGGTTATAGCCAAAGAAACAGCTTTTCTATGAAAATAAGCAGGAGAAGGCCGCCTCCAGGCCAAATAAATTTAGTCATACTGTGGCTTGTATATAAGCCATACCGTGGAAGCGTTTGAGCAAAGTACATTGTTTGTCATATGCTCATACATTGTTCTTATAACAAGAAAAAACAGACAGTTGCTTTTCTGGTTTGAGGCACCGTATTAAATGCATAATCTCCCTACATCTACTTACATACACAGTGTTACATGTTAAGAGTCCATTCTGCAATACCATTGTTCAATTATTCACATGATTAACCAGAACATCTCCTCTGTTTTCTATACAATCTCTCTCTCTCTCTCTCTCTCTCTCTCTCTCTCTCTCTCTCTCTCTCTCTCCCTCCCTCTGATTGTTCACTCACTTGTCTTTAAGATAGTACAAGGCATAGGTGGTAGGCAGTCCTCCATCTGAGCCAGGCTTCCACCAGCATGTAAAAGTCTCCTTTTCAGGTGAGCGACAGTTTGTCAAAGTTGGCTTTCCTGGAGGACCAAGGCCTAAATGCAAATTAACAATGAATCTAAATGAAAAGTCATCACATATCAGACATACCAAATGAAAAGCACTTTTTCCCATTGAAAATATATGCTAATTGCTATGGCAACTGTCTTATCATCAATTTGAAACTCATGGATACAATAGAACATCAAAAGTGAATCAACATGAAAAATGGACATGACTGTGGTTCCTGTTTTGGACTATACACTGACGATAAGATACTGTCACTTACCTGTAACTTTTCCACTGGCCATAGAAAAAAACAGTAACAGGAGACTGATTTCCTTCATCATGGCACCACGTTGTTTTTTCCTGTAGAAAAACAGACAGGCGGGTTTTCAACAGGAACATCCCATAACTTGTATTCAATGACAACCCATGTGCATTGCCTGTGACTAACTTCCTTTCTTAGTATATACAAAAACCTTAGCATAAAACATGAAAACAGAATGCATTTTATACTATAAATAATAATCTTCTTAAATTGAAGGGAAATATCTCCTGTGGCTTTATAATGGATTAAAAAGCAGAGTGTACTGTATACCTCTGCCGGCTGGCGTGCACAACATGACTGATTATGTAACAGTTAGAGCTTTTATCAAGGACAACAAGAGCCTGATTTGCCCCAGGATTTGACAGCCTGCAATTTTTGTGCTCTGTAAATTTCAACACTGGGATGCTGGCACCAATAATAACCCTATTTCATTTTATTCTTGACCAACAGTAAAAAGTTTTGAATTCAGGAATTCAAAGAGGTTGCTGCAAAAAATGACTAAAAACACAACAGTTAGTATTACTGCACATTACACAATATATTTTGTATACTTCATTTTGAATTGCATCCTATTAAATAGTGCAGTGCAAATGTGTGATGACAAATATGTGCTATATGGGAATCCAAGGGCAAATTACTTTTTATCTAGCCCTTGATAAAAGTGCCTGGTAAAAGAAAGAAAGAAAGAAAAAAAACATTAGTAGATTCTTTTCTACAGCATTCACTTGAAAGATATCCACAGAACATTTCTCCACTGGGAGTTCTGGCTTACATTTGCATTGCAAAAGCGTTGACATTTTTACTTTAGACAGTATGTTCATGGGTGTGAAAATAAAGTGTAAAGCATTTTAGGCCTACATGTTCATGTTCAATCAACAGTTTTACAGAACCTTGACAGTCACCTCAGAGATAGCACATTGTACGTTTATAAAGAAGAAATTGCTCCGTGTTTTGCATCCTATCCCATGTGATCTACTTTTTAGAATGTGAATGTGAATAACAGAACCTTCTAAGATTTTTGGTGGTGATATAGAGGCAGTGGTTGATGCTTTAACCTTACAGCAAGAAGGTTTAATGTGCAGATAATTTGCAGAATTTCAAATCTTTTTCAAACAAATGGCATTAATTAATGGCATAATTAATATTTACTAATATAATGCCCCACTCCTACTAAATTATGTAGGCCTGCTAACAAAAATCTTGTTTAAATGGCAAAAGAATATCATCTCATTTTTTTTCAGTGAATGAAATCTAATGAGAGACCAGATCAAAGCTGAATTTGTGCTAATATCAACAAGTGTGTGTTTGCCTGGGCATGTGTTTTAACATCTGTGCCGGATATACCTTATGTAATAGCCACCATTGAAATAATTTTATCACCATTTTTGTCTTTAACATATTATATCCATTTCTTATGTTATATTATCATTTGAATGCTGGGTTAATTTTACAATTGTTTACTATGATCAGCTAATTGGTATTAAGGTCAAGCAACTGGATTAGTATCCTTCTACTGCATATAGTACTGTTACATAATCAAGAACCCAAACTGAGACTAAGCTGCTAAGCTTTGCCAACAGTTAGCAAACCGTTTGCCAGTTAACCAACAGCACAAATCTAATATAAGCTAGCTTTAACATTATTAAAGCTATTGTTAAGGTTATTATTAAGGTTATTATTAAGGCTATTATTAAGGCTATTATTAAGGCTATTGTTATTGTTGTTGTTGTTGTTGTTGTTGTTGTTGTTGTTCTTGTTGTTCTTGCTGTTGTTGTTGTTCTTGTTATTATTCTTGTTGTTCTTGCTGTTGTTGTTGTTCTTGTTATTCTTTCACATGTGGCTATATGGTGTATTTTGATGGGCACTGAAAATTTGTTCTGGTTTCACAGTAAGATCATATCTTACATTAAAAGTAATCATCAGTGTGCAGCAAAGCAAAGGCGATGAGAAAATAACCTTTTGGTTGTTCATTATTCAGAGTCACACAGTTGCTGAGAACACTGACCAATGCAGATCAATCATGCATGAAACCTAGACTTTAAGTATCTAGATTCTGGGAAACTGATCATGCTTTATGAGAGTGTACGACATAAACAGTTAAACAGTATTTGTAGTCAGTTCAAGTTTGATATTTAACTTTATATGATGCCTGATATGAAGTCCCTTGATGTGAATGAATCTTTGGCTTCACTAGCACAAAGATTACATGTTGTGAAGAACAGCTGGTTAAGTATTTGTCCTGATGTGTGCACAGTCAATAGTTGTTCCTTGAGAGATACAACTATTTTTTAAATTACTCACGTTACAGCATTTGACCTGCTCAAACAGGAGCTCATTTCCTGGTAACATAAAACAACACCTTTCTAGGAACACCCAAGCCCTGCCCTGCCCAGTCCTGCGGGTAAAGGGAACAGTGCATCAAAAATACAAGCCGAAGTAAAAGTAGCAACCCTTTTCTAATACATTTGATTTTTACCTTTGACCATTTTATGCCTTTCTACTACTCTCATAGGCTGTAGGTTCTTAGCTGTTTGTACTAGAAGTCTAAACTGTATGCCCGGACTAACATGTTCATTGCTATTGGACGTCAGGGCTGTCATATTGCTTAATATTTTATTTTTGTACAATTATCTTTATGCTACCTTCTTTGTGGATAGGGCCTTGCAAATATAAATAAATTGGCCAATGTGTATGTCTCATTAAATGTTACATTGAAAAGACTTATAGAGATAGAAGATAAGCAGAGATAGGCCTAAGCAAGGCTATTGAGCAAGAAGTAGTCTTATGAATCCTCTTGAAACAAAACCTCTTTTAATGATAACCCTGGACACTTTATTTTGGTGGCATGTTCCTATTTTGGGTAAAATACAAATAAGTGTTATTACGCTATTATGTGTGAAGGCCTGGATTGGCCCTATAGATCTGTATTAAATTTAATGCTATGACCTAGGTGGCCATGAAAGTAGGCCTGAAGGAGTTCCTTCGTCATTGGCACCTGGACATTGTGACAACATATGCCAGAGATGGACATGGATTTATCAGAATGAGTAGATCAAATGTAGAAGTAGCCTACAGAAATCCCAGTGCGCTACAGACTTATTGAGTACCTTACTACCTTCCTTCTACGCAAAAGGAAATCACTTGGCAAACCATGGGTTCACAGCTTCCAACTTCATTCCATGGAATTAAAAAAAAAGCAAAAAACAAAACATTTTGCTACGTTAGGGTCCAGAAAATATAGGACTCTTAGAGAAACAGACTAACAGAATTTTGTTAGTCAAGCCAAAGTAAATCTTCACAGATAGGCTACTGAGAATTTGCTATCGATATGACCACCTGTTGAAAACATTGTTGAAAAGCTAAATCTTGTCACACCACATGCAAGTCAGTCTCACACAAAAAAACATATAAATAGTAATCTGAATCAAAGTCAACTCAAAACCTTTAGATTACCTATAATTAATAATTTCGGTAAACCTCAAGTAAGAACCAGTAGCACAAGGAGCGTTACTTGTAATTATCAATCGATGGAGTCTGAAGAACAGTGAAATGATAAAAGACTGCCTTACCTGATTTTGACAGGAGCTTAATTATGACAGTGCACATAAACTGTCTTCAGGCAAAGACCGTTCCCCGATGTGTAGAAATGGTTTGCCGAGCTGTGAAACACGGATGCAGGATTAGAGGTCCGTACCGTCTGGATGAACGAAGGCTTCACTGACAGCGCTCACGCTCCGAGGGCGGAGCCGAGGCTGTAACGCCCTGTTTCTGAGAAAGCACTATCCCGCGGATTGCTTTGAGAGGACTTGTTTAACAGGTTTTAGGCAAAGGCCACATCATATAGCCTAGCCCTTGAATACATGCACTTTTTACTCATTGGCGGTGAGGGAGAAAACATTCATATAATGCTGTAGTAGCATCAACAAAGCTAGTAGGCCTGTTCACAATTATTTGACGTTTAATGGGGCTACCAGTTTGCCAATTTGCATTTTGTTGATATTGTAAATTTATACTTTATTATACTTTACTGAGCCTTTTGGGGAATTTTCTGTCTATCTGAAGTAACCTATGGGCAATATGTTCAGCAATCCTATAGTTTAGTATGCTTTGAGCTGGTGTGCAGGTAGTTCTAATTTTTCTGTGTCAGATTGCCATTTTCCTACTTTATTTGTTGTTAATAACTCTGTAATTTCTGTGCCAGTCCACATGAAATAAAAAAAAATATCACAAAGTTTAACATCTTCTCTATTTATCAGCAGAAAAAATCTAAACCTAAAATATTTTTTCAACAGTAGCTTCAGAAGGTGATGCCATTATTAGGCCTATATGCCCTTAGATTAGTTTTGTGGAGCCAATCCCTAAATAAATTTAGATCATAATTGCGGATATATCTTTGGGAATGGCTGCGCTTGAGAAATAATAAACTTTCACTATCTTGAAAGATAGGCTATGTAGGCCTAACTCTATGGGCAAAGGAGGCAGCTTTAATGGTTAGGCCTATGTCCAGATAAGATGCGACAAGCCTCTGCTCTGACAAAACTAAACAGCCTATGGCAAGGAGACATAAGGCAAAAGCAGTAGTAGCAAGTTTATACCATCATGTTTGAGTTGTATTAATTGATTTAGTCATGTTTGAGTAACCCTATATTGTTTGTCATTTGAGGCTTGAGCACTCAAAAAGTTTACCTATCCCTATCTCTGCCCACTGCTCTGTATCAGCTTGTGATTATTTGAAAAGATCTGACTTTGGTCATACATGTAGGATTAAAAAAATGTCACTTAGACTTTTTCAACAATAAAAACATATACATGAAAATCTACTGCTTACTCTGAAATTTCACTGTGAAGAGGTAGAGCTATTTTCACTGGACCTGTTTCTATTATCAAGCAGGTTTGAATCAATCAAATCTATCAAAAACCTATCTTCTTGTGACATCACACCAAGGGGTGACTCAATGTGCACATTTTCAAACACAGCCTGATAAGATTTTAGACCCTACAAAATGGTTTAAACAACACCTAAAACCTGTGATCGGTATAAGCATTTATGGTCTCTTTTCAGTGTTTGATCTGTGTGAATGACTGTTGGATAATGCCAGCTATAGCTTGTGATTTTAAAATTATTCGAGGACTAGTTAACACCACAAAATTAGCTCAACTGTCTGTATAACTTGAATAACAGAACTTCAGTGGCTCAAGTTAGATTTACAACCAAAAAATGTTGATGACATCAGCTATAAGGTATCATTTGCTCCTATAACACTGATAGGTAATGTAATAATGTCTAAATAGGCCTGTTTACCATGAACAAAATGTAAAATAATTATTACTGTAGGCCTACATATAGACCCATAGTTTAATACTAGATACCACAAAAAGCGTGATATGTCTCCTTTAAAATTATGGCAGTAAAATAAGACTTACTTTGCTATAAAATATAGCATAGGGCAATATTATACACTGGAGCTTCAGCAGAAAATTGTAGCACAGTCTATTGTCAAACGAACAGATGCTCTCTTCAGGAGAGGGAAACAGCCGACCAAGGTTTTGCATGCACTTTGTTTCCACGGAAACCCATGCAGCAGAGGATGTAGGCTGGAGCCTAGAGGCGACAGAAACAGCTTCCTAAAGAGACCTTTGGGCATCTTTTAATTTGAATATTGTATCTTTCTGTATTATTTAATGCAAATTGAGGCCATTTGTTTTCCAAGAAGCCCAGAAAGGTAATAGACAGGACATAGCATTTTTGAGGAAGTGACACTAAAATAAATCACTGACAAGCAGAAGAAATAGATTTATCAGGTAGGCAGGTCAATGCCCAGTCTTGTTTGATCTTGTAAGCTAAGATAGCAAAGATGGGAGACCTGTTATTATAGAAACTATTGTTGTGTCTAAGACACTTCCCACATTATGGATAAGGTGTGTACATGAGTGTTGGTCGGAGGGGCCAAATGTGTAGATTGACAGCTTTGCTTCAGTCAGTCTACCCTCAAGGCAGCTGTGGCTACAATAGGTAGCTTACCATCAAGTATAAAGTGAATGAATAATGCATTGTATACCACTTTGGGTGTAAAGCGCTATAAATTTAATAAGAAGACAAGAGGCCAGGAATGCTCTCTTGAAAGATAAACAAGTAGCACCAGGTGTCCTTTGAGACAATAACAATGTCCGAGAGTCTTATTATTATTAAAACTACATTTAAATTTGTGGATATCATGAGAACAAATTTGAGGACATATTTTTGTAGTCATAATTAAAAGCTGACAGGTTCTGCTGACTATCTCATATGAACATGTTAAGAAAGACCTAAAGCTGTAACCTAAACATGCACTATGTATCTTTTGTGTTGGAAGGGGACACCACCTGCTTGGAGTTGTTCCTGCGTTTCCTGGTATGTTGTTTACAACTTAATGAAGACAAGCAGGTGATTCAAGTTACAGGTCAGATGAGAGATTGACCGGTCTGAGGGCGACCCCACATCAAGAATACTTATGATGTATAGTGGAACATTGCAGGTAAAGCAATAACATCCTCTTGGAAACATTGTGGACCTGTGGAAAAGTTACATAGTGCACCTTTAAATGCAAGGCAATATAATTGTAACCAATACAATTCTGCTTGCAGGTGGTTTGTTAACTAATTTAAAACTGAACTGTGGCATAGCGTCTTTGTCCAAGACAGATAGCCTAAGCCTAATATTATGTCATATAATCTGCCCTATTTAGCCCAAAGCAGGAAATGTGCAGTAAAACAGATTTTCAGATTGCTTGTCTATTTATGTCTACGTGTATAGTCTATTTCTTCAAGATTCCAAGTCTCCGGGCATTTGTTTTGTTTTACCACAGTAAAGACCTTCTTCTGACATGTGTAAGTGTTTAGGTTGTCAAATACAGAATTTCACAATAGCCTAATTATTTAGGTTTTCTTTTAAATAACACGTGAGCCGTGCATACCATATGACTGTGAAAAGATTACAATTCAATAGTATACGACTAGATAGGGACACCTACAGGCGGGCCGAGGAGCTACATAATCTCATTTACACTACAAACCTCTGAACTGAATCTAGAGGCCTATAAAAAAATAAATAAAACAAAAGTGTAAAGTAAAGACGGTCTATTACAGAACTGCAATATTCTTAAGCTATAGACCTAACACAAAGCAAATCACTGATAGTCATACTGATCTTATTTTTAGGTAGACTACTATAATCACAACTGATCCTGGGTTAATGCCTAAGCCTGCAGAAATGGAAAGGCCATGCCTCACGTGAAAGCTCAAAACCTTTTATATGCTGCTCTAGCACAGTAGAGCAACGGGATTTCAGCATTGGAAACAACAACCCAAATGACAACCCTATGTGAGGCTCATTTTGCTGCTTTCTGGTTTCGTCTTGAGAATAAAAACACCAAATTATAATATAAATAAAGTGGACACCATGTCCAATGTAGCCTATTTGAAATAATTATAATAATAGTTAAAACAAAATATCAGTAAAAGCTATTTAATTTGAACACATCTGGGAACACAGATAAGTCTTTGAAATTTAAAATCAAAATTTCACATACAGTTCCTTTAATATATTTGTTGTTATCGAGAGAAGAAAGGCCCATAGACAAAACACCACAAAACTGGACAGAACAGTCGCGTCTCAGTTCTTTGGCCACGCCTTCTTCACATATGATTGGACACTCACGGACAGTGGGAAAATAACACTGTGTGTGGTTGGTCCGGAGCCTTGTCCATCATGCTAAGCTACTACTCGATTGGTTGGTGCTTTAGGAGGAAATCAAGTGTCACAGAATTTCGCAGGATAAGCTTGGAGTTGACAAAAGCCCTCTGTATTTCTTGAAACAAATAGAGCGTTGTGGATTTTGATACCCCAAAGTTGTGTCTCAGACAGGTCACGCTGCTGTGTTTACGCTTTCTGGATACAGTTAAACCTCAAGCCCTATGCAAAGAATCGGGTAGTAACATCAACTTGACCACCGCCACCAATATAGAGAGCAAAGTGGGACTTTATTGTTCAAAGCTAGCTAGCTAGCTCTGCCTTTTGGCTTCTGTGCATTGCTGATCGCAGGCTTTATGGCTACGAATTACGAGCCAATATATGGACTTTCAGAGGACGAGGTAAGCATTAAGCTAAATATGTTATTCTATGGTCGGTAGATGGGAATAGAGGGTTACATAGAGCGGCGTTGATATTAGCTGACAGTGAGGCTAACAAGCAATCACCCAGATCCACATATCGCAGTATTAATGTGGCTGCTGTCCGCCTCCGGTCCATTTCTGTGCTTATGAGTGAGTGGACAGACCGTCATTCCTTCAGTGTCCATTTGAATTACTCATGTAACATGTTTACACTACAGAAGAGTCCCATGGTACTTGTGTGTGTGTGTGTGTGTGTGTCAAGTGCAGACAAACCCTACTCTTTCATTTTATTATGCATAGCAGAAGTCTCTTCACTACCACCACCTGTAATAATGAAATAATCGACGCATAATATAGGCCTAATTTTTTACTATTGTGTATCTTATAAAGCAACACAACTACTCTAAGGTATTGTGTGTAGATGCAGGGTTAAATTTCTCATATAGTACATTATGTAATTAATGAATTTAATGTGTACGATTTAGTTTAGAACAAGTACAATTGTTTAAGTTGCACTATAATCATAATCGATGTTTCCTCATGTTTTTTAAACATTCTGTTAGTGTTGCAATCATAAAAACTTTCCTTTAGACCATACTAAGAAGAAATAACACTTACTTCCAAAATATGAAATTGATAAATGCATCAGCACAGCAGTTATTATAATAAAAAAGTGATACGTGTTTTGTATGTTGTCATTGGTCAGCAGAGTGCAAATATGTGACTAATGCTGAATTAGGGCTGGGCAATATGGCCAAAAATAATATTATCTTGATTTTTTTTGCACATACTGGAACATTTTTAATCAATTTTGATTAAAGTCACTGCTAATACTGCTAATACTGCAAGACCTTCAAACAGGGGAAGCTCTTTACATTTTGATGCTAATTATATCCTATTTAAGAATTCAGTTACATTTGTATAGATATGTAAATTAATTTTCATTAGTTTAAATTAGAATGAAATTGCACAATAACCTTGCTTTGCAAGTCAGAAGTACTTGTCATTTCCATCATATGTAAAGAAATCAAACACTGTATATTGCATTCAGAATTATTTGGTTCTATTTGGGTAAAATTGTTACTATTATCAAGTGACTGATAGGAACCTCAAATGACCTCTGTCAAATTCTATGTAGCTTTAATGTGAATTTATGGATGTTGAGTATTTTATTTAATGCCTGTGTTGTCTTTCTTTGCAGCATGAAACCAGGGTGTTGCGGGTTAAGGTCATTGCAGGAATTGATCTGGCAAAAAAAGATATTATTGGAGCCAGGTGAGTTAAAATATACTGTATTTTAGGAAACATCTGTCTTATCACTGTCTCAAGAATGGCAATAATGCAATATACAAATATCTTTGAGGGACATATCAGTATCATCCACTATTGATTATTAAAGGACCTCTGTATTCTTGAGCTGTGAGGAATAAACTGCATTTAGCTAGATTCCTTCAATATAATAAACTAAGACATTGAGCAAAGAGGTAATAAGTGATTCCCTAACTGTCTATTAACTAATGCACTTCATTTAATATTTTCTGTTCAGTAATAATTACATTACATAGCTCAGATTACATAGCTCAAGCATGGAATACAGCAGAGAGATAATTGTTAATCTTTAGCATGTCCAATGTTCAAGAGTGACTGCTCGTCTGTTATTATTTTCCTTTGTGTACCTGCCCGTGTACTGAAGTGTAACACAAACATTCAGAAGTTAAAATGAAATGTACCTGTAATTCTGTTTTCCCTTGTAGTGTAGGCATATAGTCCAATTTTCAAGTAGCTGTTAATTAAATTGTTGGCATGCTAATACTAACAGGCCATATCTTCCATGATTGTCTGCAACAATTTGTCCTGCTATCAGCATGTAATCTTAACTCTCAATTTAACAAAACATTGTATAATATTGTATATTGAATTAAATACAGTAGATTTAGCAGAGACTTTTTGACCCTCAGCTTCAGCTCTCCTAATTAAAGAACTAGATAGATGCACCGTGCATTGCAATTACTGTTTTTGTGCAGTCACACCAGATCACACATGCATCTAAACACACAATTAAAGGCCACAGGGTTTCCCAAGACATCAATTAGCCATTTTGCTTGGGTACTATTTCAGACTTAGAATCATAATGTCTTTTGCTGCAGTGTTCCTCAAGACCAATGTGCTCAGAGCAGCTCGGATAAAACAAATTAAGCGATGATTGCTAAGTTTGACACATTATTAGGTATGAATCAGACATTGACCTCTCTACAGGATTAAGATCAGTGAATTAATGTGGTCGATTGAAGTGAAAGAATAGATCAGTTTTGTCTCGCAATTATTTGAGATTTATTGTAGTTGGTGCTGATTTCAAATTGCTTTGACTCATACGCTCTGGTCTATATTTACTGCAGTGTCTATTTTTAGTACTTTTTGCTTTGTCAATACTAAATTACATCTTTATCTCTCAATCTACAAATGCAGCAGTTTTTTATCTGCAGAATTGTTTGTGGTACAATCATCTTTCAGCTTTGGGCTTGAAGAACAGAAAAACAAATACAGGTGTAAAAGTGCTAAACAAAATGAAAATTTTAAATCTATATTACTAACTCTATACTAATAATGGGTAAATCTTTATTTTACTATGTGGAGCAAGTGATATGGTAAACTGGGTGATATGACCAAAAATTAAACACAGTTTGATTTCCTTCATATTGATTTCCAAGATTTTTTTTATGACTAACATTTTATTTATTTTTTTACTGACAATGGGTTGGCTGTAGACCTCTCGATTAAAAAAAAAAAAAAAAAAAAGATCATTGATCATTATAAAAACCTGAACCTCGATCTCTGTTAAAATTTTATGAACTCCCCTGCTGTAATATATGTGGTTTTGAATTGTTTAATTTGATAGAATTAATTTGATCTTTTCGCTTTATTTATTGTTCTGCCCCTGATTAAATCCATATGCTAATTTGTGCAGAAAATAAAAATGTTATGTGCATCACATAAAGAACTGTCATGTCTTTTTATTTTTCCACAGTGACCCTTATGTGAAGCTCTCCCTTTATGTCGCAGATGAAAACCGAGAACTTGCCTTAGTTCAGACCAAAACCATTAAAAAGGTGAGTATACCTTTTTTAATGCAAGTTCAATATGAATCCCAAACAATTAACTGAGATACAGCTAGACCTTCTGGGCGGTGGATTTAGAGAATTGACTTTTGTTTAGACCTCCAATAACAGACACAAGAAGCCCAAAGCCAAAATGATGAATAAACATCTTATGGGATCAATCAGTAAAAGCAACTTAAGCCCAAAGCATACATGGTATTTGTATAGGTTGTGTTGAGGAGTAGTAGCAGGAATAGTGTATGCATAAGGTTAAAACAGATCTTTAAGACCAGCCTTGAACAGACACAGCTCGCACACACCTTGTAGAGAGCAGAGGATACCAGGGTCCTGGGATTTTAGTATTAGTTTGTAAACAGTGAAGAGGCAAAACCTCTTCATTGTTTTATTCAGATCTGATAGTGTGTTTACTTTCTATTAGACTAGCTGTTTGTGTGTGGGTAATCTTCTCCCACCACAATTACACTGACTGTACATTTTTGACTGTGAATTTGTCAGTTCTATTTTAAATTAAGTTCTAAGTTGTCTCTTCTAGGGCAATATTTTTTTCGGAAAAACATAAGTAGGCCTGTCACAACTAGAGCCTGGCCGATATATCGGTCGTACGATATTATCGGCCGATATGGGCACCTGGAAACATATTGGCTATCGGCCAATGTGCTTGCTGATATGGGCTGATATTTCACGTGGGCATGTTATACGTCATTATAAAGCTTAGACTCTCTACATTATGTTCATTTAATCCAATTTATAGACAGATAAATGTCCTAATATGTATCTCCGCATCAGTATTTATCTGCGGAGTCATTTGTCTGTGTCTGTGTCCGTAATGTCCCTGAACGCACCCCCAGAGTCACGTCACTCACGTGTGCTTGTTTACACCCGCAGACATAGAGCCAAACACTGAGATTACATTCTTTTTACAGGCAATCAGTTTGAGCCAGGATTAAAAGGACATTTATTAGACATTTATATATGTCGACTTTGAAGCTAGTTTTGGTTATTTGTTATTGGTTAGCGATTAGCTGCTATAGCTCCAACACATAAACAGGCTGTTTTCTCTTCTAATGGCCTATTGTAAAGTGAATACATTGGCCGTATACATGTTACTGGACCTACAGTGATATGTAAATGAGCTGTGAATAGAGTTGTGAATGATGAAATTTGCGCATATAATTAATTACGCAGCATTTATGGCTAATAAAGGCTAATGGTGGTAGTTTACTTTCTCTCACCCTCTTACTTTCTTTCACTTTTTTTCTCTTCACACGGCATGCAGACTCGTGGTAGTTTGACAGCGGGCAGTGGCTGAAAACAAAACTTTCAGAAATATGTGTGTGCATAGGATAGAAAAAATGTGCATATTTAGCTGTAGTTCAGCATAAAATAAATAAACCAGGATTAATCTTGGGCTCGAGAGAAGGAGAGCGATAGAGACCGAGTCCCGACACTCAGTCCTGGTTCAGTTCTGGTTTAGTCCTGCTTGCAACAAAACAATCTGAAGAGCTGCTTGGGAGCCGAAAGAGCCAGCTGCTTTTAGTGAGCCGAGCCAAAAGAGCCGGTTCTGTAAAAAGAACTGGAATACCCATCACTAGTAGCTAGAATGTGATGCAAAAATGCCATTAGGACGACCTACTGTCTGTAAATATGAGGTAAAGAGGCAGAATAAAAATAAATGTTGCCTAAATAAACCCAATTTAAAATCCACTAGAGCCAAACCTAAGTTTTTTTAAACAATTCAAGATTTACAGTGAATTTTTACATCACTAAATATATCTGCGATTATATCGGCTATCGACAGCTCCAACTCCCATTTTATCGGTTTCATATCGGCCACAACAAAATCCATATCGGTCGGGCCCTAGTCACAACAATTACCATATTGTTTATTGTTCAGTAAATAACTTGACATTTTTAATGAAATTGTTCTATAAAGTAAAGACTGCAATTTTTTACATTTCACTTGTTGTTTTCATGTAGTGCAGATTAAGGCTAGCCAATGCTCCTTGGGAGTCATGTAGGCACACATATGCTGCCAGTGGCCATGCTAGGCTTATAGGATAAAAATAGCTGACAATGCAGTGCTTTGTGGGGCAGAAAAAGCATCACATACTTGGCTCTTCTGAGTTCCTAATGTGTGGGACACCTTTGGTGGCATTTTACCCTATCCTTGGGTTTTAAGAATGATGAAAAGTTGGGACCATTGCCATAGCAATTCACAACAAAATATTCAAATATCATACTATATCATACCATGCCTCATATGATATGATATGAGATCAGATCAGATATCAGATCAGATATCAGATCAGATATCAGATCAGATATCAGATCAGATATCAGATCAGATATCAGATCAGATCATATATTAGATCAGCTCATATATCAGATCAGATCAGAAACTGAAACCTGTGAATATGGGTGTATTGCCCATCCAGTCATAGTGTGTTATTTATGTGTTATTTAGATCTACTAAACTAAATGCTTAGCACATATAGGTTTACAATTCCAAAGTGTCACACTCTGGTGTCCTCAGTCAGTAATATCGGAATATGTGCCTTTCTATGAGGGGTTTAATCGTAGTTTTTAATGCTTTGTTACAGACACTAAATCCAAAATGGAATGAAGAATTTTACTTTCGGGTAAGTTTTCTTACATCTTGAATGAAGATTCTCAGTTTTTTTTGGATAAATAAACTGATAACTAAGCAAATGTATGAAAACAATATAGTTCTGGGGTAGTTGACATGTTGAATGCAGTTCTGTGAATGTAGTAGGGGTTTGGGTCTACCATGGAACAAAAGAACTGAATGTATAGCCTTTTTCCTTTAGTATTAAAATGTATTATGACATCACATTGTAACACCAGAATAATCGTGTATGTACAATCTGTTCAAAAACTGGTACAAGTATAGTTTCAAAATGCAAAAAGAACTAATGTGAGCTGTAGAGGCTCATATAATAATACCAAATCTATAATGTTAGATTCTAAGATGCTGTTTTCAATGCAAATTTTGTTTTATTAGACTCTCACCACTTTTTTAAAAACTGAAGCAAGGGGATTGTATCTCTGAGTAAAGTCATTGATAGTAATTTCACTAATCACCTGATTTGTTTGATAAACACATTTAATATGTGGAGTGACAAATAAATTCAGCAACAAAAATCAGGTTGTTCTGAGCCTGACCAGGTCCATAATACGCTGAAGCCCAGATGGTAGTAAGTCGTGACACAGTTTGCCTTTGTGATGAATAGGAATGCAGTGCAGTTTTTAAACTAGTTGCTGGAGGTTTCAAACTCAACTGCGTTGTGCGATCTGCTTAATTAGTTCTAGTGTGTTCCCATTTATTGAAAAATGTTTTGAGAGTAATAAGTTTATTCTTCAAACTGCTAATCTCAGTTTTACCATATGAATATTGTTTTTCTCTTGCCTCAGGTTTGCCCACAGAATCACAGACTACTTTTTGAAGTATTTGATGAAAACCGTCTGGTAAGATTTTTCCCAACTTGTATCTCATTGTTTCTGTTTTTTGTGATTTTGTCTAAAAATGTAATCTCATCATGTATGATGATTGTGGTAAAATGGTGTCACTTTGTCTTTTCAATTATTTGTAAGTGTGTTATTGTGCAATTCATTGTGGACTGCCCTTCAGTTGCCCATTCAATTCAATTTAAATATCTACTAAACAACTATTCTCTGCAAGGTACCACTGTAAAATGGTCAAGTGGGTGTTGATCAAAGTTTTTTATTTGTTGTAGTTTTGTAGCTTCTATTGAGTTTTTGGACACATAATTAGGTAATGTACCAATATATATCTTCCAGTGTACTTCACCAATATGGCATACAATAAAGAAAATAAGACCATCATCAATCATTCCCTTGCATATGTGGCAATAGATTAGTGCCTGACACAGACAAGCAAAATGAACCAGTCTCACCAGCGTTCCTCTCCTTATATGTCTAAGGAGGCGCATATTGTTCTAGGTCTGTGCCAAGAAGACTCCTCCAACACTGTGCAGTATCTTGGTGAAGGCTCTGTGTCCTCTTGTACCTAATGACTGATGGTATATTTCATAGAAAAACTTAATATTCTCACCATGACTTTACCTCAATTTAGCAAGTATATAAGTATGACTTCATGTAGCTTGTTCACTTGTGTAAGGATATTTTCTAGTGTAGTCCTGTAAAACTGTCAGTGTTCTGTTATTAAACAAACTAAGCACATTGCCATTGGACTACACATTGACATTATTTAGTGCCTTTTAATCTCAAATATGTCAATGTATTGACTGAACCAGTGAATGTATTCAGTGAGTCATTTCAGGGCACATGTTGAGTTGCCAAGTTGCAGTTTCCATCCTCTAGCTCCTTCCCCTGTTCTCTTTGTTTGTTTGTCTTGCCAGTGCCATGCAGTTTAACACTGCAGTGTCATCCATTTTTACCCATTTGGTCCATCAACAGCTGGAAGACAGAACTATTGATACAATACAAGCAAGGGATTCTGTTAGTTTAAATTATCAACACATTCAGAGTGATATCTTGTAGGAAAAGGTGAGAATGGTGAATAGATTTTTGTACTCTTGTGACCATCACAAAACTTAAAATGAACTCAAATAAGCATACTACATATTAGTCTTTTGTTAAATAATCCTTTTTATTGAGCACAGCGCATACATTCATTCTTAAAGGTCTGGTTTGTGAAGAGACTCATATTTGTGTACCAGTCTGAACAGCCTCCAGATGGGTTGTGTCTTGCTGCAAACCGAGTAGCCTATAAAACCCACAGAAGTACTTGGCTGACTACATTTTATTTGTTTGAAAAACTTTCCTTATGAAAAAGACAACTGCACTTTTTGAATCAGACAATGGGATATAGTGACTTAATATCTTATTTTATTCATCTCTTAATGGCTTTTTATGCTTTTTGGAATCTTAGTTGTTGGAATGAAGTTTGTGCTTACCATTGGGAGTGTTAAATGGGGCAGAAGATTGAATAGGAGTACCAGTTGGCACTTGAGGGCAGTATGGCTTTGTAACTTGAGGTGCTGTGGCCATTTGTGGTCACATGACTCCAACCCACTGTCACCTCAGAAACCAGCAGCGCCTACTGCTCTTATCCAATCATGTCAGGAATGCTGGCCCTTACTCGGCTCAGGCTATTTCTGCTGTCTGTCTCTGGTGCTTAGTAGTGCTAAGAGTCCCTTTTCCCCCTTACCCCTTTCACTTATTATCACTCCCTCTGCCCCTCCGTTCAGTGTGTAGTGAAAAAGTTGTCTGCTCTCTCTGTGGCTCCTTTAGCTCGTAGTGTTACGTCAGTTCAGAGCAGTTGACTGGAAAAGGTTTGTGGGAGGGGTGTGGAATTGACAGGGGCAGAGAAAGAAGACTCGGCAAAAGAATAGAAGTGGAAACCAAGGCACAAACTCAAAACTATTTTACAGTAAAAGTGTGAGCTCTGGGACCTTTGAAAATGGCACAGCGTCTGCGTTTGTACTTTGGCTCTGGCCGCAGTAATACAGCCCCGGAGATACTGGAGGAGAACTCAGAGGAGCAGCCACCAGGAGAGCGTGATCCAACCGCATCAGCCCATGCCCAGGAGTCGCCTTTCGAAAACTTTCCAACCAGGACTTTACGACTGTACTCGGAGCCTTCACTTAAGCGCAGTTCATCTATGTTTATTCCACAGCTTTCCTCCTCCTCAGAAGCACGGCCGACCAAGAGCTCTTCCATGCACATCTCTCTCCAGCGTGCCAATGGATTTAACAATGGAGATTCCAATATTTGCACTGATGATGTCCCACCACCTTCATACAGTCCTCCAGGTCCTGCGCCTGCTTATCCTGAACCTCCAAACCAGCATGTCCCACTACAGCCACCTCCTCCGTACTGCAATCCAGAACCAAGCTCATCCACTTGCTTTACTGAGCCAAACTTGCCCAAACGAAGGGTCTTCAGTATTGGCTCCAATGGCTATACCGTCTACAGCAGGGCCCAGCCAAGTATCAGTGTTGGTGGAATTAGTATCCAAAGGAAATCCCCAGATGGTAGCGATATCCAACATGTCCGAATCCTTCCTTATGGAGGAGCAGGCTGGTGTGTTCAACAGCAGAACTCTGATTATAATTCCACTGCTAATGGGGAAACGCAGAGAGTAGTCTTTCAAGTCCAGCAAAACCAGAACCCTCAGTGTCACAGTGACAACCAAGAATGGCAACCACATAATATGGTCAGTGTAACCAATTCAAACAGAAACCGCATTGTGCGCTACCCCAGAATAAGACTTGAAAGAAGCTCCTCTTATCCAAAATTATATCAACGTCAGGAAACTGGGGGTGTAAACACAGAAGAAAACCAGCCAGGCACAGAGACCCAGCAGAGGAACAGGGCCAATGGTTATGTGTTGAATTTAAGTGGAGACTCACGAAGAAGTAAGCCTCGTTTCAAGATATATTTTAATTCTGGAGGAGGAGATCAAAATGTTGACAATGATTCCACATGGAATGATCCTAAGGTAAAATATGGTGTTTATTGTAAATGTGTTTATTGTTCATTATGTGTCTTTATTATTTGGTTTGTTATTTCAGTGTGCTGCTATAATATTCGCCCATCTTTATTGTACACAGCTGAGGTGAAGCTATGTTGACTTATACTTATCTTTATTTCCCTTAAATCTCAAAGAAAATTTTCTGTGGTATTTTCTGACCAGCTGCTGCTAGTTCAATCAGGAAAGTACACTTGCATGGAGAAATGTAATACTAAAGTTTGGTAATACCCATAACTCTGCCCATTGCTCTGAGTGTTTGCTGTTACTATCTTTAGCCTCAAGTGTGGTTGTTGATTTTAAGTATGGGTAGGCAGTATGCCTTTGACTCAGGCATAGTGAAACAAACAACGTTAAGAGTGATTTAATGGCCTATATTATGATAAATCGACTTAATAGCAATTGTGTCAGATACATAGTGCAATAGTCCTCCCAATGGTTAATGTTCACCAACTCGTAGAGGTGTGTTCTGTGTCACTTTGATTATTCTCAACTGAACTCTGTTATTGCCCAACTTGGAGACATTCCTATTAAAAACTAGGCTGTGCATTACTCTAGAACCATTTGTTTATGTTTAGAAGTTTGCAACTTCATGCAATTGGGCCAGAATACACTTACCTTTTGTGAAGAAACAGAGCATTTGATGTTCTCATCTCTTTATTTTGTTATAGTTGACTGTAATCAAACAGGTTTACTACTTATATCTGCGTGTTACCAAACTAGTCTTTGGGACAGCTGCTGGCTCAACTGTGACCCTTGACTATAAGTACACGTCATTAGTTAAAACGCTTATTAGAGTTAATAACAGACCCACAATTTATCTGGAAGAAAAAAATTGTAATATAAAAGTGATATTTTGTCAATTCTGAAGGGATATACATTTAACTTATAAACCTAAGTATTAAATACTGTGAATCCAGCGATTTCTACATTGGCTGTAATCTAACTGTACTGAAATAATTTGATTGCACTGATTGTACCTAGGTGATTAGATTTTAGTAGATTGCCTTCACTCTGAATTAACATGCTTGAGCAATGATTATGTACTTAAGTGTTGATTTTTGTCTGTAATGAGTTGTGTCCTACACAGGCTGTATCCAAGAATGGGCTTTTTCATCTGGGACAGGTAAACAATACAGCAGTAAGGGCTTCTCCAGTGCAACCCCATTCTTTGTCAGTCCTTCCTCTTTTCCACTTTACCATTGATTACAGCACATGGATGGGCACATCTATTGTCTTCTTTGATTCAGGCAATGTCCCACTCATCTTTTCCTGTGTTGACCTCTCACTCCTTTGTTTGGCTGATGTGTCTTCTTTCTGTGGCAATGACGAGTGGATTTGGATTTTGGGTTTTACATGTTTTTTTTTCTCCTCCTAATAAAATCAAAGGTCTATAAAGCCTTAAAGTATAAGCTTTTTATTTGCATACCTGAAGAAACCTGTGCTGATAAAAGGCTACTAAAAAGTTAATATGTTAAATTTATAAAAAAAATAAAAATAAAAAAAAATTAAACCACAGGGCTGGACCTTTGACAGTTTTAGGCAATATTGGGTATACTCTTCTGTATTTGAAAAGGTGTAAACTCTGGTTTTCTTTGGTTCCAGAAAGCAGTATGTTACCCTAACACACATATCATATAAAACGTAATAATGTTTTTACTCTTTCTTCTAGACCAGAGATGATTTCCTGGGACAAGTTGATGTTCCTCTCAGTCATCTGCCGGTGAGTTATTTACACCTACGGACAGTGGTACTGCCGGTTTGACTGTAGAACACTTAGCTATTTTCTTATCTGTAGCTTTTCGTGTTTGACCTTTATAAAGGTGAATGAACAAAGACATGCAGGGCCTGTCTTTACTTGAGTGTAATAGTCAAGAGGATTTCCATCTGTTTCTCGCTCTTTGAGCTATTTTTTGAAAGAATACAATATCTATCAGTTTTGACAGTTTAACTGCATTTTGATTGTACTTGCAGAATATTATAATGTAATGCAAAGACATGTTCTGCATTTTGAATTGTACCATATAATTAAGTGACTTTCATGGTCTTATAGTAAAGTGAGGGTTATTACCATTCAGAAAATTTGTTTGAGGCATTAATTTTTCTCCTTGGTGGGTACTAAATTTCTCAACAGCCCCAAATGGCTAATATTTATTCACATTACAGAAAATGCTTTGGCATTAAAGGTTGACCCAAATGCCTTAAAACTAGCATGGTTGTTTTAAGTCCTTTTGTTATCCAGACTGAAGACCCTGCCATGGAGCGCCCCTACACATTTAAAGACTTCCTCCTGCGACCCCGAAGGTTAGTTGACCAGATGAATGACCTTATTGAATGAAAACAAACAAAATGTTGAACGTTGACTCAGTCTTAAAACATGGGTTTAATAGTATGGTATGTTTGGTTGACTGTTACCAAATGGGTGTATGTTGTTGATCTTTTATTTCCAGTCATAAGTCCAGGGTGAAGGGTTACCTGCGTCTAAAAATGGCTTATCTTCCAAAACAAGATGGACACGAAGATGAGGTGGGAGACGTGAGGGAGGAGGCTGAGGTAGGAGATGACAAACTGATAAAATATTGATTACCTTAACCAAAATACCATTACATAAACTTTTACCTCTTCTTATTTGAGAAGAAAAATGTAATGAAATTTTGTATTTATCGAGTGTGGTTTGAGAATAGAGCTTCTTTATTCTTCTAAAAATTCAGACAGTTACTTGCTGCCAGAATCTGTGCAAGCTCTTGTCCAGGTCAGACACTGGAAAAGTCATTTACATCGCTTTGCTTTATTTATGAAGCAAAAAAAAATCACAGAGCTTATGCTTTATGGGTTCCTTTTATACATAAAAAAGAGTACAAATTTAACTTTATAATTTTTGGTCAAAAGTTGCTCAAATGCATTCTTTGACTCACATATCATCTTAAACACTTTCTTCCATAAGTCTTTTTTCTGTATTAATTTTGGTAGTGGCAGAGTGGCATGCATTCTCAACTTAGTCTGCACACTATGTGGTTTAGACTTTATCCCAGTCAGACAAAAATAACTACTGCAAATATTAACAATAACATCAAAAACCACAACATAGCTCTCCAAAATGCAAAACTCACTCACAGCCAATTCGGCCTCTTTCCAAGCTTTAGTTCCCATTTTAATCACTTTTTTTATGCGCTGTTAATTTGTGTCAGAAATAAACAGACTAAAATATTTGGCAAACATTTCTTTATAGGGCTGGGAAGACTCTGCTGACTCCGGCTCACAGCGACCACAACAGCTACTGCCACCCTTACCGCCAGGCTGGGAGGAGAAAGTGGATAACCTGGGTCGCACCTATTTTGTCAATCACAACAACCGCTCAACGCAATGGAAAAGGCCCTCAAACATGTAGGTTTAACTATAAAATATCATCCAATTATACAATGGGACATAAAGACAAAAGTGTTATGTTTTGTTTTTTTAAGCGATGTTATTTCGGAAACTGAGAGCGATACTCAGCAGCGGCAGATTCATCAAGAAGCCCACAGAGTTTTCCGCTCCAGGCGCCACATCAGTGAAGACTTAGAAAATGAGCACCTTGAACCCAGAGACTTGGATAATGTAAAATAAGACTGACCACACGTTGTCCAACAATGTTAGGATGCGCTTTAAAAATAGTATTCTTTTTCTTACAGTCTTGGGAGCTGATTACAGAAGAAGATCCCAGTGACACTTTAGCCCAGTCTCTGCCTGGTACTTCTTCTGTTTTGACACCACAGCATCCCCCAACACCGGTTACTCAAGAGTTTTCTGAAGATTTGAACATGAGACTGTCCCTCACAACAGATACGAATGGTGAAATGCCAGGACCAAGCACTTCTCTGGTGAGACTCCAAACAAAACAACAAAATACAGTACAAATGAAATTAACCATGGTCGAGCCTTGATGACCCTTCAGTGTTTGCTGTTTTCTTCACCAGCAGAGCCAACTAACAAACAGACTCCGCTCATCCAGCATGACAGATGGTGTCAGTGATCAGGCCCAAGCCCCTCCTCTAATGGTACATGTCTTTGAAACCCAAAAATATTTCTTCCTTATTTACCCAAACCCTTGTCATTCCTTTTAACCAGTTTTTATACTAAACTCCCAGTGAGCTCTTTCCCTTCAAAATGCTTTCTGCTGCTTCCCTTTTGTCCTACTATCTGCTGTTACTTCCATAATTACTACAATATTTAGTTAACCTCTGCTGTCACAATACCTGTACTTTATATATAGGTGTTTTCAATTTGTCCTGTATCAAAAATATTCTTATCAGAAAAGGTTGCTACTTTCCTATCTGAAATAGTACAAGGTTATATTGCAGTTAACTTTCCTTTTCACTGCTGCTATCTGGAGCTTTTTGACTGCATAAATGTTTGTCTTATTAACTAAGATTACATTTTGGAACACAGTAAAATCGAGAAGATCTTAAGAGTACTTAAAAAGAACAGCTTTCATCACTGTGACGTTGTCAACCCCACCTGCTGTTTTGATACCTACAGGGCTCACCATAAAAGTGTACACCACCTTTTAAAAGTAACATTTTATACAATATGTCAGTGAACGCAAAAAATATTAGCAAAATATGCTCAGACTAAGTTTAATACAACACCTGTTGAACTTAGGACAAAAAACTAAGGTTAATAATATTACTTAGATTACATAATTTTCAGTTTTAGTGAAATTTGAGTGGTGCAAAAATGATCACACTCCACAACAAAAACTACTACATCTATTACTTTGTATGGCCTTCATTATTTTTAATGACCGCTTCAAGTCTTCTAGGCATGGAATGAACAAGTTGGCAACATTTGGCGACATCAATCTTTTTCCATTCTGCAACAATTACCTCTTTCAGAGACTGGATGTTGGATAGAGAGAGATGCTCAACTTTTCTCTTCAGAATTCCCCAAAGATGTTCAATTGGGTTCAGATCAGGTGACATACTTGGCCAAGGAATCACTCTCACCCTTTGCGACGCCATACAGTTTTGAAGCCATCACTTCCAAAAAATTGATCTTGGTCTCATCTCTCCAGAGTATAGAGTCCCAGTAGCCTTCATCTTTGTCAGCATGGGCCCTGGCAAACTTTAGTTGGGCTTTTTTGTGACTGGGTTTTAGGAGAGGCTTCTTTCGAGGATGACACCTGTGCAAGCCACTTTCCTCACTTTACAGCGTATTGTGTCACGGGGATTAGTCACCCCACTTTGACTTTCTACTTCCTTAGACATTTGCAGGGAAATTGCATGTTGACTTTCTTCAGCCCTTCTCATCAGAAGAAGCTCCTTAACTTCCATGGCTGACCTGGACGTTTCTGTGAGATGATTGTAGTTCCAGCTTTTTTAAATTTTTGAACCACTTTTGCAACAGTATTTTTACTAATAAGTAAGGTTTTGCAGATCTTATTGTAACCTTCACTTTTCTGGTATAAAGAAATAATTGTCTTTTTGTCTTGTGTCATTTCTTTTCCATGTGGTGCCATTGCTGACAGCAGGAAATGGGAAGGGGTTTGCTTTAAGTAACACCCTTTTGTAGCCAACTGTCTGATGGACACCTGTGGATTGAGTCATTAGACTCTCCTGTGCTTGAATGTTTGTTCAAGTCCACATTTGGAGCTTAAAATGTAGCTTTGCTCTGAGACTTTCAGAGGGGTATACTCATTTTTGCACCACTCTAATTTGACTAAAACTGAAAATTATGTAATCTAAGTTATATTATTAACCTTAGTTTTTTTGTCCTAAGTTCAACAGATGCTGTATTAAACTGAGTCTGTGCATATTTTGCTAATATTTTTTGTGTCCATTGACATATTGTATAAAATGTTACGTTTCAAAGGGCGTGTACTCATTTATGCTGAGGACTGTAATTTGTTAGAATTGGGTTTTTGAACTTGCTGGTGTGAATGAGAAATGCACATTTGTTGGTGTATTGGTGGCTTAGTTGCCAGCAGTAAAAGGATCATCTCTTTGTCGACCAGGTTGAAAATAAGAAACAAACTTTGGGTCAGACACGCCTCATTCACCACTGAGTCACAGCATCACACTGTCACATTCAGCCACTGGCATTTCTTACACATGATTCACCTTGATGAACTTGGTGATGGCTTTGGTCAGCCAACAGAAAGTACGGGTGCTGAGGCTAGTCTTTCTCTTCATAAAACCAGTAACCATGTTTATGTAGGGCTTTGAAAGATAGACAAACTCATCAAAAATCTGACTATTGATACATCATTAGATAATTAAATGGATAAACTCACGATAATCTTTCTGACCTATTACTATTAATAATTGTATTAAGCTTACAGTTTCTAAAAAGCAAATCACACTGTTGTTTAACCTTGCATCCTAAATTTTTTCCTTGTTGAAATCATAAAAAATCACCTGTCCATCATCCTACTCTGATTTGCACTAAATCCTTGTCAACCAGTACACCCACTGCCCCGTCCTCACAATAAAAATAAAACTAAAGACCATCTTCCCCTGTTGTCCACACCAGCGAAGTTCCCAATCCAGAAGAACCAGAGCTCAGACAGTCACAGGTGGCGAGGAGCCCATGGTAATATTAATGTTTATACAGTACTCTAACCATCATGAAGACATATTTAATGCTAACACTCACTTTATATAAAATACCTCATAGTACTGTTGTACTTCATTTCAAAACAACTACAAAACAAACGCAATTTTATAGTTTTAATGTTTACAAAATTTCTACAGATTACACTCACAAGTATTCATTTGTGGTATTTATAGTTCTTAATAGACTAGTTACAAGGGTTACCACCTCAAATAGTAAAAAATGGGACAAGTTGTTAAATGTGGGGGGACATGGAGGGATTTAAGCTCATAGATAATAACTGCAGTAACCATATGATTTTTAGTTTGTATCAACCATGACACAGAGACAGTAATTTTTTTTTTTGTCTTGTAATTCTATATATCTTGTCTTACCC